CGAGACAGGGTTTCTCTATGTAGCCCTGGCTGTCCTGGAACTCACTCTATAGACCAGGCTGGCCTCGAACTCAGAAATCCGCCTGCCTCTGCCTCCCAAGTGCTGGGATTAAAGGCGTGCGCCACCGCCGCCCGGCTATTTTTTTTAATTGTGTATATATTATATATATTGTACATATATATAAACATGTATGTGTGTGTATGTGTATATGTGTGTGTGTATGTGTATATGTCTATATGTGTGTGTGTGTGTGTAGGTATGTAGGTGTGCAGGTGTGCATGCCATAGCTGTCATGTGAAGAGCAGAGGACAGCTTGAGGAAATTGGTTCAGTCTTTCCACTGTGTGGGTCTCGGGGACCAAGCTCAGGTTTTCAGGCTCGCTGGCCAGCATCTTGACCCACTGAGATGTCTCATCAGACCTTCTTCTTTTTGTAGACACATAAATGATTCAGTGTGCTGACCCTCTTTTATTAAGTAGACAAATCCAAGGAGATACTTCTGTTTTTTTCCCTTTTATTTTGATGCCCAAGATATTTTCTCTTGCCCTTCATAGGATATTAATGACCTCTCAAGGACAACGAACCATCAAACAGTTCTTGACAGTGTCTGTTTCTTCTGTATGGGAGATGAACACCAGGACCTTGTACATGCTATGGGAATGCTGCATCCTGGAGCTATCTCCTCAGTCATGTGGGAAAATTTTATAGTAATTTTTTAGTTTTTGATCATTGTTCCTCTTCATTTTCCTCCCTCCAATCTGTTCCATGAACTCTTTCCAATGCATGGACTATTTTCCTTTAATTGTTGTTACACACATATACACACATGCACACACACGCAAATAAACAAAGACAAGCTGCTCAGTCTGTATAATATTACCTATGTGTACACAATCTGAAGATTTTTAATTCTGAGACCAGATCCTGTTTAGCTTGGCCTCAAACTTGTGATCCTCCTGCCTAAGTCTCCTGTGTAGCTGGGATTGTAGCCCAGCACCTGGGAAATAGGGAAGAGTGAGAATCTTTGTATTTTTGCATTTATGAATGCATCGGTGTGTCACTGCCATGCACATACTTCAGACGTACACGTAGTTGTCAGCTGTGCGTGTAGGGAACGGTCTTACCTTTACTTACAGCTGTGATTCTGCCATAATAGATGCTAAAATGGCCGCCGTGCTCCAGGTACCTAGGTCCTAGACACAGAATAAAACACCTTGAAAGCTCACTTAGCTTTTTGTTGGTTATTTGAGATGTATTTTTAGTGTTAGGTGTTTTGAGAAAAACTAACACAGTATGTGGTTCTATTCTAGAACGTTCTTCCCCACCCTGGTCCCTAACCTCTTCTGTCCCCTATAGCTTATTCCCTACTGCCCTTACCTGGTCCTGGGTGTACAGGACTAGGGAGCCATGACAGAGAACCCAAGAACCCCAGGGTCTGAGAGATATGCTTTCTTCTGCACTCTGGTATCTTTATCTCTTTCTCCATTTCTTTTCTTTTTTGAGACAGGGTCTCACTGTGTAGTGCTGGCTGTGTAGTGCTGGAACTTACTAGGGCCTTGAACTCATTAAGATCTGAGTGCCTCCCAAATGCTGAGATTAAAGCTGTGTTCCATGGTGCTTGGCTTCTCCCTCCCTCTCTTTACACAAAATAACTGTATCCCCAGCATTATCTTGAACTCATTCTGTACAAGCATGCAAGCACTAGGATTGTTTTATGTATGATAGTATGTGGTTGTGTGAGTGTGTGTGTACCTGGCAACATTGAATTTTTAAAAGTGCTTTGTTAATAAAAAAGACATCATCCAAGTTTGAGAAAAAAAGGAAAGCATTGTAGAACTTTAGCTCTGTGACTACTTAGTAGCTCAGTGATGTGGTTTATATTTCTGTTCCCTCAAAAGGGGTGCCAGTACTCAGGTGACGTCAGGTGAAATCTTAATTGGTCAGATAAGGCTGGAGCCTGTGACTGGGCAGTGGAAGGAAAAGGCAGAGCTGAAAGTTTTAGAAAGAGGCAGGAGGAAAAAGAGAGATGAGACAGAGGATGGAGAGAAGATGGAGGAAGAAGAGGAACCAGAACCACGTGGCCTGGACAAGCCAGAGTAGCTAGGGATTCAATAGATAGACAGTAGAGTAATGTAAGGTACATTTGCCCCATCTAGGTGTGCGGTTTGTATTTACGTCAATTGGGTTTTGTATTCTTTGGGTGGGCATTTTGAGGTTGGAGATTTATTGTTATAAATCTGGCTGGTATATTATAAGTCTCTAGTGTTATCATTTTATGCGGATAAGAGGATCTGATCGAGCAGTGGCTGGCTTTCTGCAGGCTAGCCACAGGAAGTGGATGGCCTGGGAAGACTGGAGCAGCTTGGCAGCAGCTGGCCTGGGAACCAGGGCAAGACCACTGCTTGAGGCTGGTCTTGGGGGTGGGCGAGACTACCCGCGGTTAGCTGGATTTAGCGTTGATCACTTTTTAAAACTACAGGCTACAACTTGACTGTTTATTTTTCTTATGTGCATTATGGGCTAGACGAGGACCAGCAGCTTGAGTGAAAAGACTCCATCCCGTGGATTCTCTAAAGCAGTGGTTCTCAGCCTTCTTAATGCTGTGACCCTTTAATACAGTTCCTCATGTTGTGCTGACTCCCAACCATAAAATTACTTCACTGCTAGTTCATAACTGTAATTGTGCTACTCATGACCTCTAAAGGGGTTGTGATGGCCCACAGGTTGAGAACCGCTGCTCTAAACTCCACCAGAGGACAAAGTTTTGGACACTGTCCCTGGGGATTTGGAGAGGTTCTAAGTGCTCAACTTCTGCCCCACAGGACTCAGTAGACTATCTTTCCAAGAGAAATAGGCACCATCCCCACTCTGCAAAAAGTGTTCCTCTTGGCTACTAAGAGAGTTTCGTTCATACTGTTGTGAGCCCAACTGGCTCAAACACCAG